ACAGGCATCAGAGATTGACAGACAGGCCCTCTCTCTTGACTTCAGTTATCTGGGGGAATAGGAAAAGTGTCTGCAAGAACATGTTAAATTGCCAAAGTCATTACCAGTCACCAATTACCAAAGAAAAGATAACAAGGTGTATTTTAGAAAAATCGATGCAACAACATGCATTTCAATAAAGTGAGTTTTTCATAACTTTAGAAAACAAAATGAACTATTTAGGGAATACACAATGGTTTCCTTAGAATACCAAGCACTCTACTATACTAGCTGACTTTGGAGATTCATCACTATTCTCCTTCTATTTCAGATGGGGGCCAGGGGTCAACCAACAAGTATTTCCCTTTTGTCTCTTCTTAAGCTTAACCTAAACAAGAGAAGTGATCTCTGTATCCCAGTGATTACATCTAGGCTCCATGATGGGAAAAACAGAGCCCCAAAAACATTTCAGTCCTCAGATGCATTTATTCTAGCTACAAGAACGAATGCTACCTTATGTAAAGAAAGTTCCCCCTTCCCTCCAAAAACGAACCAACTTTGGTGATAATTGCTTAATTTACTTGTTTCGTTCATGGAGGCTGAAGTGACCCCTTTCAAATCGAGTGAGATGCACTGAAAGCTCTCGCGAAGGCTGCCGAGCCCTGGATTTTCATTTCTCTTCCATGTTACAGTATTCAAAACTCTCCTGCAGTGCAGTCTGCGGCAACTGAAATTTCTTACAATAGACACTTCGGAAAGTCTGTCAACACTCACTTTAAACAGGTCTTCATTGCCGTGGTCCTCTCATTCTTGTTGCTCCTTTCTGCCCTTGCACCAGTTTCTTCTCTTCTTCTGGACCCGCTCCAGCACCTCGATGCTCCAGTATCTCAATGCACAGAGATTTACCCTTTGGATTAAAAAAAGATTTTTACTGCATCTAATCAGAATGCCACACGTTTCAACACGAGTCTGTTCCCTCTTGTCTTACTGTTGGGAACTTGCAAGAAGAGCCTGTCTGTGCGTACTAGTTAGCTTCTTAAGAACGAAAATGAAATGAAGAAACTAAATAAAGCACTGAATCTCTTAGCTCTTGACTCATCGGCATCAGAACATTCACTTTTACAGTGGAAAAGAAAAACATCCAAGAGTCTAAAAACAGTTTGCAAAGCAACTCGGAAAGACCTTGGAGGATCATTCAACGCGACAGCTAAAAAACGAATTAACTAGGATTAGCTGAGGCACAGATGAGAACCCACGAACACTTTCAGATCTCTGAGAGTTAAACTGTATGGAGGTACCTTCATGAGCATTTCATCCTGTTTTGTAACCATAAGCTGTACACAAATCTTTCGTCTTTAACAGAAACACGTGGGGCCTCAGAGTTGGAGCTGTGACTTGACAAGCTCCTTTTAAGATGTGTGACACTGATCTTCAAGAGGAAGAGCATCTCTTGACATTCAGTATTACGGTTGAAAAACACGCCAAAACCAGCATTCATTTCATAATAGTGGATGAAAAATAAATTATCAACTTCTGAAAATGCTGTATTGCCTTACCTTCCATAAAACACCTTTTTTTTTTTTTTTTTTGCCTTCTCCCAAAGGAAATAGAGAATGGGGATTGATTTTTCACAAGCCCGTCTGCACAGTGACTCCTGGGGAAAGATTTACCTAGAGCTCAGTCTGATATATGCAGGAACAGGTTTGTATACTGAAGAAGTCAACTATTACACCAGTAGGTAAACAACTTTTATTTTAGATAAAAAAATAAATAAACAACATAGGCAGAGTTGAATTCTTAAAATGCTCTCTACTGACCACAATTATGAAGTTTAATCTGATCACATTCAGTCACTAAGTCCTTTCAGAATACAGATTTAAAAACATAACGTCATATTTACAACAAAGTCCTGGAAACAAACCCAAAATAGACGGAAGAATTATAAATCAAAAATGACTATTAATTTGAGGGTTGCTAATTATGTAGCAATTAGGAATATTCATTCTATAAAATTCCATTATTGTAATCCTTTTGCCCACCTAGCTTGCTTATTTTCTTGGAGAAACAGTCACATATTGTGGTTCCATTGATGAAAGCTTGCAGCATTACAAACAGCTGAAAGACTTCAGGACCTCATTTGAAACATTTTAAATTCCTTTTAGGAATCAAAATAACTAATTAATTTCTAAACTTCTAACGGATTTGCAGCTTAGATGCCATACATCTCTTGTTTTTCAACATGTTCTCGACAACAGGAATCTGTTAAGCACTAGTGCTGCGTTCTCTACTTATTGCTGGGCTTCTTGCTGCAAAACCAAACACGGTGGTGGGAAAAGCGATCAGTAAAGAGCATTCAAGAAAAGAAGTCAAAAAGTGATGTATTAAAAATAGATATTTTAAGGAAAAAAATGTATTTAGCAAATATAACACTCAACATGCACTCATAAATTAAGATGCCATTTACAGTTTTAAGCTTGATTCTGCAGGCATAGATTATTATAAATTACACAACTCTCACAAATACACAACGTTCATCGCTCGAGAGCAGCGTATATGGATGGTAGATTCACCACGTCCGATGAGCAAAGCTCTAGTTTAGCTATAGTTTCTGTCTGATGAAGCAGCCTAACCCCTGCACTGACAGCAAGTCTCCAACTTGACTTGCCACAGCTCCCGAAAGCTTAAAACACAACACCCACTTCCGATAGCCCATCTGCTAATCTATTAAATATTTTGCTTTCCATGTACAGACCATAATTCATACTGCTTTCATCTTAGTACACTTGAATAACTGAATCCTTCATTCTTGACATCAGATGCAAAATTGATGTTCTCACAAAAATAACACCTTTTGCAACCTGCGCTTTAACTGATTTTTTTTTCTAATTTATACATTCAGATATAAATAAAAGGTATTCATCCCCAGCCATCAATAATGAAAAAGATCTAGCAATTACCTGCACACAAAATTCAACAAGAAAGATAAGATGGCTCTTAGAAAGTCCATCCAGGCTCCAAGAATAATTCTCTTAAAAGGCTAATAATTGCTTTTAAGTCATATATGAGAACAAGGGATAGCACAAAAGGCAACTGGTTTGAGATTCCCAAATAGTTAAATCTATTAGCATGACTGTGATTTTAGGCAAATATCTTAAGAGTGGAACCTCGTATATTCCTCATTCCAGGAAAGATGTTAATCAAGTCCTTCTAATCTGCATCTTTGAGTGACGCTGCTAGCGCACACGTAAATATATTCCATATACAGTCTGTTCCTCTCTAATTTTGCACTGACTTCCTCCAAAGCAATCATTTCTATTTCACAGGGGTTTCTATCAGGTTAGAATCGGCCCAAAGCATCGACACTTTAGTTCAAAACACTAGCTTAGGTCACTAGCTACTGGTTTTACAACAAGAAATGTTGAGCGGGATATTTGAGACCGGTGGCACAAACTCTGCAAACATTTTGAAGGCTGATTTGGAAGGCTGGAATTTGCACTCCTGCTCCCCTGCAGCTGCTGCATGCAGCCAAGCTGCCATCTGATTTATGCACCTCTGTCCTCCTGCAGAGCCTTCACCTCAAATAATGTCATCAAATCAAAACTGCCTTCCATACAATTTTAAAACATAACAGGTTACAGCAAAAAAGTACAACCTCCAAAGCAGCTCAAAGCTAATTATTTTATATTACTAGCAAGAAGAGCCGCTTAGTATGTCTTTTCTTATTTAAATTACCATTGATGGCATCTGCTTTCTTTATTCTTGGGAAATCCTGCTACAAGTACTAGTTAAATCATGTAAGACCGTACAGTACATAAAGATAAAACAATTACTATTACAAAAGCAATTTCGGATTATAATTTATGGTGAAAAGAAGGAGTTATGACACTCTGTTAAATCACTCGGTGATGAATTACACAGTTAATCCTTCCGGTAGTGAAAATTTAGGGGTAATAGTGTCACTGTGTTCAGTAATTATTCTAGTTCATTTGGTAGGTACTTCATCTATATTGTTAAGGTCTCTAATGCAACTCTAATGAAGAGCAAATGTGCAAGTCTCTGTGGTGATACAGCACATATCAGCAGTCAACCAACTTCAACAACAAAGTAGAAGTTATCTTTTGGCATCCAGACTGCCTGATCCTCTCCGACAAAAATAAAGTTTAATTAGACGTGTGAACTGTCACCCTGCCCTAATTAGGAGGTCCTAATTCACCTCCTGATGGATGTAATCTGGGCAGCTACATTTTATACAGGTCTGACATGACTAAAATAGATGAAAACATCATGTAAAATTTCTAGCTTCACTAAATCTGTTTTCCTTAGTATTATATTAACTTTTTTCACTAAGAGAACCTTCTCCTCTCAAGAGGCTGTCTAAGATATCTCTCTAGTTTGTAGTTGTTGCTGTATTGCAGGGGGATACAATGCAAAAATACTGCTTAAAGGGCAAAATTAATATTCTAGAATTATCACTACATGACACTTTTCAGAACATAATGCCACCTACAACAGGGACTTGGCAAAATCTCTATGACACCATCCAAAAATAATTTTCCTTTGCACAGAAGTAAAAAATAGAAAACAAAAAAGCCAAAAGCTGGAAGGAGTAATACTGTAAGGAGTAATAAAGCTGAAAACATTTTATGACTATTTTAAATGCAATGTATTTATTTATTTATTTATTTAAATCTGTTTCTAAGGAATGTCACACAGTAAAGCCTAAAAGTGGAAAACCGCATGGAAGAATTTCCCCATCCACACTTGGAAATGGCTTGCTGGATGTTCTATCCAATCAGTATTATTTGGGCTTATCAAGTCTTGAGCTAATTTTTCTAAGCTATTTTGGAAAAACAAGCTTTGTATCTTTCAGGAAACAGCCTCCTCTGGCTGGAAAAGCCTGATGCTTTTCCAATTTTTTCCAAAGGAAAATTTTCTATGTTAAATATCACTTCAGATAATAATAAGAAAAAGACTTCATAGAATTTCTGCGCTTAAAACTGATTACCTTTTGCTGAGCTGAGTCCCTGTGGTTCACGGTCAGGCTGCCCGATGCCTGCAGAATCCGAATCAGATCTCTCTGCAGGGCGTCTCCGTGAATATTTATTAACGAGGCTGCAGGAGGCAGCCCCTGTATTAATCTTCTTCTGTCAAAAAAAGAGAAGGCCAGCGAGTAGTCAATAGATTTACCTTACTTAATTCATTTAGGAGGATTTAAGTCAACTTTCCCCAGGAGTCATTAGTAAGAAGCTTGTCCACTGTCCTCAGTGGTAATGTTGGTCTTTGACCCTTTGTAGGTTGGGAACAAATATTTATTAAAAGAAGTGGTGGGCTTTCTAGGAAATAATCCAGTTATCTCACACTGAGAATGTTGGCCTGCAGTCACATAAGGTCATGTTCATCTAAAGAGAACAACAAATCTTTTGCACCATGTCACAGGTTGCATGAGAATCCACAAAATAAAAATTTGGAGTATATTTTTTTTTTTCCTCCAATGAAAGCCTAAAATACCGTTTCCAACAGTAAGCAATGCTCTCCATGGGAAATGAGTAAATGTAATTACCCACAGACCGGAAAGCAGTTTGAAAATTTGAACTATTTGGAAAAAAGAACACGCTTTTTCCCCTCCCTCTCTCTCACTAATGGTTGTTTACCGCTAAAGAGGGCCAAGAATCATTCGAATTTGGGTTCATGCACAGCAAAGACCAAAGACACTCCATAATACGCGAGTCTGGAAAACTTCACTTTGGGAGAAGCGGATCGTGGCCACTCTTCTTAGCATGCTGTGCTGTTGAGCCCCACAGCTTGGCTTCGTACAAACCTCATGTAAATCGAAGCAAAATAAACAAGCAAAAAAAGCAGAAAGCAAGGCAAGAACTCAAGCAGGAAAATGACACATTTGAAATCCTATCAGCCTGACCACAAGGATGAAAACGAATCAAGGTGATGCCTCTCTGTCCCTGCTCATACCAACCACTGCCCTTGATGACACTGGATAATGAAGAGGAAACAGCTGCACATCAGCCTCACTCCTTTAAATGCATCCTGCCCACTCATTCTGAACACTTTTCCTATAAGAATTAGCAAGTTTACCCTTCTCTGTAAATGTTTTGCTTAAACTCTTGGCATTATTTTAACGTGGCTTTTGTGATGTGAATAAATAGACTTTAAGGGTCTATTCTCCAGACTTTACAAATATCTATGCTAGGAAACAAAGACATTTCAGTAATTGCTCGCTATGAGAGTGCCTTTCTACCTTTCTATTTTCCTATTCCCCAACCTCAAAGCAAGACTCTTAACAATTTAGATACAGTAGGCCACAGGAAATTGAATTCTGGCTGTGTTTTTTTTTTTTTTTTTTTGGAACACTGTACTTGAATTGCATAGCAATACTCTAAATGTCACCTACACTTCATGAAAAACAGGCATCTTCATATTTGCTGTTTCTGTCAATAGACCCATCAACTCTGCACTCCTTTCCATGGAAAACGGGTATATTGATAAATAGGTAAAGTCACATCTCCCTTTTCCCCAGCCAGGCTCCCGTTCACATCACCCCAGCTCTCAGTGCCCACCCATGGTCCCTGCTCACCTGTCAGCACCAAACAGGGTGCGGATCCCGGCCCGCTTACGGAGTCATTTCAGAGATCGTTCATCAAGCTTGGCCAGCTTTACTCCGAGTAATTCCAAGCCAAGAGGCCTGAAAATCAAGCATCTAAAGTATTACAGTTGACAGGATAAAATAATGGGCAAGTTAAGCTACACCACATTAACCTATTAAATCCTCACTAATTCATTGTATTTCTTTATTATAAAGAGGTGCTTTATCTAAAGACTAATTTCTAGACTTTCCCCATTGATCGCTTGACTTATGACTGGGCAAATCCTAGCACTACTCCCCAACTGTAAGAAAAGAAGGTTTCAAGGAAGATGAGATGAAATCCGGCGATTTCCCAGCAGGAGGACGAGCCTGGAAGCCTGCTGTGCTGGCATGACTTCTGGTTGAAGGTATTAATAACATGTCAGAGGATGGGACGTGCTGAATCCTAAATACTCACTTCTCTATGGATGTGTAATACCTCTGTTTGCTGAAGTGTAAACCTGCTCCCAAGCCTTCTGCAGAAGGTTATGAAATAAGTGGCATTTTTTTTTCCCATGGAAGTGACTAAATTCAGCGACAATAAAAGCAATGCTGTGAGGCTTTGCATGCGTTTAAACCAGCCTATTTATCATCTTTAATTTTTTTTTCATAGAGTATTTATCTTCAAATTCCTGATACAAACTGGAATACTATCCCACTGTTGTTCTCTCTGCTAATACGTTCCAATGATTTTGAACAGAGTGGCTTTTTTTGATTGTTTTTAAAGAAAAGTCAAAGATTTCGTACTCTCTATTGCACTACTAGTGTTCTCAAGTTCAGCTGCTAATGTGAACACAGTACTTCTAGAATGCTTCTTTCCTGTACGCTGAATTCTACATGATCCTCTTTAACGTAAAAATCATATAAACTAGGAAATTTATGTGAAAGTACCTGTATTTACCAATCTGCCCATATCCTTGGATAGCCAACTTGGGATAAAATGAGTAACACTACACAAGTTTATGGCTTTACGGTTCGTTTTAGAGAGTTAAATAAAAACAATAATTTCTTAGGTTATTTCTTGTGTTGCTCTATTATGGCAAAACTGCCAGTCAAGTTTGTGGCAAATACCATGTGTTCTGCAAAAACAACTAGAAAGCACCAGAGAAGACAGATAAAAACAAAAAAGACAACAACAGCAATGAAAACTACACAAAAATAGAGGACAATTAACAAATTCTTTCTCAAAGATGAGTCTCGCAGGGCAAAGAAAGTTAATGTTGGATTTTAGATTTAATCCATTTCTGAGGATGAAAGGCAATCAGTTCAGCCTTAACCATACCTTTGAAAACTCTGTTTTACATACATGCTGTTTCAACATTCCTGGGTTACAATTGAGCATCGAATAATCAATATTCAAGCCTGATATCCACACAGTCTCTCTGACATAGCAGACCTAATATACAACATTTACACAAGATCATTGAGGCTATTTGAAACTGAGAAATAAATAAATCAATAATCTTAGAGCATGAAGTTATCTTTATGTCTGAGTCTTTTTATGTGATATAGAGAATATACTGTGAATTTCGGCAAATTGCTGCTATATGCATATTGATGGACTTGTATGTAAACCTTAGCTCGATGCAGCTTCTTCTTATATTTCCTAATCAGGAGCAGGGCTGCAGTACACTAAATGCAATATATTTATGAAAGCTAGGACACTGAAGTGTCCAAAATATTTTAGTACAGGTATAGGACGTATGTGATGTGCTGGTACCGTCATGCTCCAGACTCCAGTACTGCAGCCTTCACAGTTCTCAGTTTGCCACATGGCAGGAGGAAGATGTATAGGAAAGAGAAATCTATTTTCAATAAAATCTTGGAGAACTTGGGAAGTGACAAACTACGAGGCCTTCCTGACTATGCAGGCTACAAACCCAGCACGTGGCTGAAAGGCAATTTGCTCCACTGAGGGCTGTACCGAGGTATCAAAGATCCCTGGAGTCCCAGATATCTTCTGAGGGCGCAGGTGCCCGTCTGCAGCTAAAGCTCTACTGACAAACGTCCTCCTGTTTCATGGAGACTACGGCTCCAACTCAGCCAGCGGAGAAGCTCCCAACAGTCTCTCCAAACAGCATTGCCAGCCATCCCAGAACAACATTCAGCCTCTCGTGCTTCCTCTGTAGGATGAACACACGTACAGGGGTAGCACAGGGGAGGTTAAGAAGAGACCGAGTGTGTTAGCAATTATCAGATCGTCTTGTCACCACAAACCTTTGAAAATATTAACTATTGCTGGTTCCTCTGCACAAATACCCAAATCGGTATCCACCATTTTTTTTAATTACAATGACTCCTGCATGTCATTCCTATTCAACAGCGAGCAACTACCACTAGCCCTTAACACTCATTTTCTGCCTACTTTACACATATTCAATCTACAACCAATCTTGTACACAGGGAATTAAAAACACCCTCTGTTGCCCCGTGCTTCCCCTCAGCAGCACTGAAAGAGTTAAGGTCACAACACAGCAGTGCTATGTAAAGGAGAAATTTCCCTGTCCTTGCCTAAGTGAATGGCTGGGATTAAACTGACAGCCCACCTTAGTGATGGTGGAATAATTGGTTGTTCAGCTCTGTCCTTGTCAGAGCGCTGACAGTTCTGCAGATGTCCTGCTCGCCTCTCCAAAGGTTAGCCTCAGCTGGAGCTGCTCTTCATTAATCATTCCTTCCTGACAGGGCTCCGAGCAGCCCACAGCTGCCAGGCCGGCCCCTCCATCCCAGCTCCCGTGCAGCCGCTGCTGCATTTCTTAAGAGGATACTCGATAAAGGAATATACGTTTGATATAAAGACACGTGGTGGTGACTTCCCTCTTGGTAATTCTCTCAGCAAGAGGCTGATGAGTTTACTGTCTTCGTGCAAGCACAAAAGCAGGCAACTCTGCTGGCTGTGGAAGAAATACACAATTGCTCAGTCTTTCGACAGTGCTTGCAATGACCTCATACGATGAGGATTTCCGGGCTACCGTAATACTCAGATTTGAAAATAGTCAGAAATTATCTTCAACTACCTGGCACGGCCACGGGACAGGGCAAACTGCACCTGATTGTAGCGGCACCGCCTTGGGCCAGTTGGATTACATCATTTGGAGAAATTCACACATCTGACTAATTTTGTGACTTGGTAATTTATTTATTTATTTATTTTTATGACTGCATTTATTAGAACCTGTAAGAACCACAGAAAAATAGTGAGCAGCTTAGAGGAGCAAAAAAAAAAAAAAAAAATAGCTGGAGGGAGGAGAAGGAGGTACTAAGAGATGCCAGCATTTCAGGTACACACATTACCCAGCAACACAGCACCAGCATCAGGAGCAGCCCAGCAGCCAAGTTTCATCCTCATTCGGTATGGTTGACCCCCCCAACTGGCAAGAAAAGAAGAAGGTTCTGAAACAATAAGTCAATATAGTAAAGTCAAATAGTAAAGAATATTTGGGGGGGGGGGGGGGGGGGGGGGGGAGATAATGTAAAGAACATAATTCATAGTTACTCTCCCCTAAAGGTTTGTTTTTGCATTTAACTATTCATATAAGTATGTCCCGAATAAACTATGCACCCTGCAGTTAGACTAAAATACTTAAATAATACTTGAAATAGTTCATATTACTTATAAATGTTGATTATGTTAAAATGTGTAAAAAACTAAATCACCTAATTCACAATCTTAACACAAAATTGCCCACTGACTTTCCTTAGGGTGCTGTTGTTAGTATGTGAGCAATGCAAGAATCATCATTTCAAATAATTGATTAACTGTCTAGTCCAAAAAGTTTAAAAAGGAACAAACAAGGACATTAAGTGATTAGCATTCTTATTTAATTTGCAAATCCTGTCTGCCCAGCTAGAGAGTCAAACGCCTCAGGCTCCATCCCAGGCACACAGATCCCAACAAGTCTGACAGCAGAGAGAAGGTGCTACAGATCCATGCAGCTGACAGCCTGGATTAAAGCAATCAACACATGAACCATTCATCACAACTGAGAACTCTGAAACACATTTACAGAAAGGCAGGAAACATATTCCAAGAGTTAGCACCACTGATTCCAAATTTCCATCTGCTGAGTCAACCCACTGGCATGATTGGGTCACCAAGAGCTGCAGATCTTCAGTTGATGCTTTTATATATCTTCAATTCAGACGCAAAGAGAAACACCTCATTAGCAGGCTGCCTTTCATTTTTCACAACAATGACTTTCCTCGGGAAATCAAAGTTGGTAAATTCAGTCCAAGTGGCATATGCAAAACCAGAGTTTTCACCAGTAAAGCTGGCACAGGGACCCCCTACATCTCACAAGGGGACACAAGAGGCTTTCATTTTCCAGATGACAATGACACCTTAGATTATATATTTGTGGCTCTGCCTCCAATTAATATATTAAATTTAGCAACTTCAGAAGAGCAAGAGAGAGCACTAACCACCTGCAGGTTGTGCCTGACTGTGGGATTCTGGAGCACACACACACGTCCCGTTTCTGGCGAGCACATTAATATCACCAAAACACAGCCAGGGAAGAGATTCCCGCAGCAGTGGTGATCTCTGAAAGACCCCACGAAGAGTGAAGTAACGGGAAAACACATTTCCGTATGACAGGTTGTCCTGCAGAAGAGCAGCACTGGGAAAAGCGCATTGTGTCACTGCCAGTAATATGATTAAAATCCCTGTGATGAAAGTAAAATATGACACATTACCTTGTACCTTTTGTACTTACATTTTCTGTTTGACCAGTCATCTGAAAATTGACGTAAATCTGTAAAACCTCATCGCTAAGATGGTACCAAGCTCATACGGAGAGCTACTTACTCCCACACACTGGCAAGACACGGTGTGCTCAGACACTCCATCCAGTCACAAATTAACTCCATTAAATTCCATGCGAGTGGGCCTGCAATAATTGGGATTTATTAAATGGATCAGTATAATCTTTATAAACACATCTCATTCAATTTAAGTGAAATTTCTGTCCCTACTACTGGAATATGAAATTTGAAATATGAAATTTGTCTCCTCCCTCAAAATTAACATCATCTCAGACCAGAGATGCCTGCTGGCTCCCTCCCACCAAACCGTGACGTATTTGCCAACAAATTCCGCTACTTCCCTAGTATCCTTAGTCAAACACCTTCCAGGAGAGACCAGGCCGGGTCCAAAGCCGGGATGCCCGGGCGGCAGCTCTGCTGGGAGGCTGGTGAAGCCAATCCCCACACATTTCTGCCAGCCTTATTCGCTGCGTTACCTTTCCAGCACCCTCTTGTTCACGCGAGCTGTTGAACGGCTTTCGCTGGCGCTAATTACTGTTGACGTTGTTGGGAGCCTTGCCTTGCTGCCAGAGACAAATCTTTCATTCATGAAGAAGTGCTTGTTAGACCAGCTCTGGTCTCCCAACCCTCTTAATTAAATTGTTAAAAAAAAAAAAAAAAAAAAAAAAAAAGAAAGAAAAAAGAGAGAGAGAAAAGAAGTTGCTTAACTCTGGTGGGAAATTTGCACACAAAGGCCCGGTGTCTGGTTCTTTCCTCCCACCATCGTGTGCCTCAAAAATCGCACAATAAAGCAGCATTCCCCCCGTGCCCCAACGCAGAGACACTCCTTGCACCCCCTGCAAGGGCAGCAGTGACCCTCATTAGAAGAGCAGTTTGTTAGGGAATGTTTTCCCAGGGCTTCACCACGAGGGCTTTTCTCCGCAGCAATCAAGGGCGTGCAAGTGCTCCGTAAGGGCTCTCCAAGGGCTGAGTGCTGAAAGACTTTCCAAAGGAAGCAGTGCAAACAGGTACATGGAGAAAGCCTCTTCGGGGTGATTAGAGAGACGCGCCCCGCGCAACCCGCAACGCTCCGCAGCGCAACTGCCGGCTCCGACTCGCTAATTACACTCCCCGACCTCGACCGCTCTCACCGCCAAGCAGCGCTCGCTCCGCTCGTCTGGGAGGCTCTAACACTAGCATGTGCCTTGCAGAGGTACGTAACAGCAGTTTCATAACCAAAGTAACAAAACCCATTATATAAATAATATATATAAAAAACAAAATATAAACAATTATATAAAAATATAAAACATACCGCTTTTGCAGTAGTAGTACATCTATGTGAGAAAAATACTCCTGTATTACAAGGGAGGGAAAGCCAAAAAAATCAGCAAAACCCCTTTACACTATCCTTCAAATGTATTATGGAGGAAATTTATTTTAAAAAATCTGAAATTTCCCCCTTAAAATGAAGAAACACTTAATACTATTTTTTTGGATATATACATAATTTACCTCACCTTTTTATAACTTGTCTATCTGTTCTGGAAATGTACCTTAAGCAAGACAAAAAAATACATCAAAAATGAGATGTTTCTGCACCCAGGGAAGCTTACCTGAAAGCAGAGAAACTGCATTAATCTTTCAGCTCTAACAGAACGCATTGCACATGCCAATGGCTTCTACAATACGCTCTGTCATAAACGTATGGTGGACAGAAAGCAGGCTCCATTCTGCCTGTAATTTTTGCTCGGTTTTGGTTTTTCTTTCTTTCTCTCTCCTCTTCACAGCTGTGAAGCTGATGACGTGTATTTTGAGGGAAGCAAGGCACAAACTTTTTATTTGATACTGTCACGCCTATAGCTGGGTGCCTCCTGTGATCACTGGCAATAACCTCCAAGGTCCTTGATGAGACTGTTGTGGTCACTCCAGAAAACGCATTGGTTGCAGTTCTTTTGAGAGGCCCCTTTCCTCACCTTGTGTCTTCTCCAGACCGCTAGCGGGGCAGGACAGCTGCACGTGATGGACAGGGGAAGAGCCAGGGACACGAACGCCAACATTCGAGATGGGAAAGGACTTCTCCCGGCGCAAGGACGCTGTTAGGGATGAGAAATATCCGAGGGACCAGAGAACCCTACTTACAGTGTCTGAAGGAGGCGGGCAGGCCCAGGGCCTGGTGGGCACGCAGCGACGGCGTGGGTTTTGCTGAAGAAACGGGCATTTCAGCTCGTTGCAGTGCCTAAACCGGCCCCTGCGCGGCTACGTGACGGAAACGGCAGGTTCCATCAGGGCAAAGACCTGAGGCTCTTCCTTGAGGCCGTTCCCACGTACTGCTCGTGCTCTGCTGCAAACACTGGCATTAGGGAAATGCTGGGAATTACCAGCAAAGAGCAGCAAAACACACTGCCACTTCAGCAGTTTAAATCTCTGCAGAACTATATCCTTTAGTATTGCTTGCTTTCTGTGCATTTGGGGACTCCCATATTCCAAATTATGGCATTTCCATGTAAAAATGCTTCTTACTTAGCAACTTTATGTTAAATTCCTTTAAAACACCTAAAATACGAGTGCATATTTTTTAAACTTATTGGTTAACTATTTAATAAACAAATATCATTGTCCTTAAAAATACACCTTCTTCATATTGCTATGTATGAAAAATGCTCTTGCCAATAGCCCTTAACAATATGATAATTTATTTAAAACAGATACAGTCCTGAAAGTGACCCACTTAGAATTATTAAAAAGATATGGCGTTCATTTTTGCTGTCCATAAAACAGGCAATGGCTTATGAATATGCAAACTGATCTGGTGTAATTAGCATGATTGGCTCCTACTGAAATACAATCTTTAGTGTTAAAAGAGCTAGATGCAAAAACTAATGAGGTCAAGTTAAT